CCCCAAAACCCCAAAACCCCGCATTGTTACGTTTATTATTGATTTGAAATAAAATAGTTTGAATATAATAAATTTAAAATGTTATAAGGCTTAAATTCAAACTTTAAATCAAAACATGGCTCTATTGACATGAGAGAGCCGACTAATCAGAATACTCCATTACTTTTAAAGCCTACAGGAGTACCTGTATTCACTCCAGTGAACAATTTTAAAACAAGTTCAAAAGATTTTCAGTAATTTAAAGATAAATTTTATCTTTGTAGAACTTAAAACCTAGATGGCTAATCTACAATTGATACTACTAATGGGAAAAGTCACACTGAAGAGCGTTTGGTAAAGGCGAAATCCTTCGTTATTGGCAAAAAAGTAGAGAACTAAACAGGAATTAATTTGATTGATCTTGATAGTATGAGTCTACCTCATGAAAGTAAGTAAAGCAGTAATCGAATTAAAAAATATAGAGCAATTTCCAGTCAAAGTACTATATGTCAAGCCAAGTCATGAATATAAAAGTCTTTAATCAAAATAAAACGCCAAAGATGATATCACTGTAAAGAGAAACATTCCTTAAAATAACAATAAGGAGAACGCTTAGTAAAATTCATTAAATCAAGTGAATCTCTAGCTGCTTGACTATGAGCCTAAGGAACTACCTATATAAAAGAATTTCCCCAAATTGAATGGAGTTGGTGATCTTTAGAAAATAAAAGAAGCAAAGAATAGACCTAAGTCAGCCACAGCTCAACAAATAAAGAAAGATCAAATAAAGCATAGTAAACTAGGACCTAATACATCTGTTAAGCCCCAGATTTCATATGTCAATAAAGTATAGTAATAGCAGAGGCCATAAACAGCTAAAGCTTAGATTTTAGATAAGGATAAGCTATAGTCTAAGCCAAATGAGTAAAAACCGTCTCAAATAAAGCCAGCTAATAGATTTGAAGATAAAATAATATCTCCATAGAGAGTAGATGTTGATATTCCATTTACTTAAAACAGATTCTAAGGCAAATTTTAAAATTTGACCAAAGATTTAATAAAAAAAGCTTAGGAGGCATTGATGGAAGAGAAAAAGTAAGTTCAGAAATAGAAGGATGAAATCTAGCTTAAAAAAGAGAAATAGAAATAGATCACTGAGGAAGTAAAGAAAAAGAATATGGAATTGGTTCTGAAGTAAAAAGAAAAAGGGGTTGAAAGAGTAGACTTCCGAAAAAAAGAGCAAGAGATGAAAGAGCAATAGAAAAAGAATGAAAACAGATAGGATAGAGAAAAATAAAAAGAATTAAGGAAGAAAAGATAAGAAGAAGGTAGAAAAATTTTAGGACTCGAGATACATGATGAAGCAAAGCTTGAAGATTATCGTAAAAAGGTCAAAGATACTCTTAAAGAGGAAGAATAGAAGGAATAAAAAAAAGTATAAAAGTAAGCAAAACCTCAAGTGGATCACCTGAAATAGCAAAAACTATAGAGTGACAAGCCAATCATGCTTCACTTAAATCATTAGAACAAGGACTTGAATCAAATTATGAAAGAAGGTAAGGAGATAGATGAAGAGGAGGAAACTAGATAGCATATTGATAAGGAAAAACTGTTGAAAGAGCAAAAACGAAAAAGAAAGCTAATGATGCTTGAATAATAGTAAAAGATGGAGGAGGAAAAGAGAAGAAAGGAAGAGAACATGAAGGTATTACAAGAAAATACCAGGAAAATGATTGAGGACTAAGCTAGAAAAAATGAGATGAAGAAAAAAATCATGGAAGAAAGAGAAAAATTACAGAAGGAAATGGATGATATTCATGAATAGACTAAGAAAAAAACAAAAAAGAAGAAGACTAAGCAACATTCGAGTTCTCATAAAGAGTAATTGGATGAGCTAAGAAACTGGATTGAGGAATAAATGCAAAGAGAAGATGAAAGCTAGATTAACCTTAACTAGTCAATAAATCTTAATCAATCACAGGAATAACCATAGAAAATTATGGTAAAGATTGACCGAAAGGAATAAAATAAGAAAGCAAGGCCTTAATCTTAGCAAATGAGTGCATAGTATGATCATTTGCAAGATGTAATAATTGAGGAAGAATCGTAGATGTTTAACGAAAGAAAAATAGTTAAGGTTAACAAATTAAAGAAGTTAAAGTATGATTTGCCAGGAAATAATGATATTCCATTTATGGAGGAGTAGAAGTTTGGAGCAAGAGATAACAGATATGGATTATATGGAGACAATGGATATGGTGACTTAGTTGAGATAAAACGTAGATAAATTGAAGAGCCTCCTAAATAAGTCTTAAAGCAAAAGGATGATAGTCTTGAAAGGAAAAATGAAATTCGACTAAGCAAAGAAGGGCTAGTATAGATGATAAGTAAGATCTAAGAATATTAAAAGCTAAAGGAACAATAGCTATTTAAAGATTAGATAGAACATCCTGAAAAGTACTCTAATGAAGAAAATTAGAATAACAGAATGATTCTTATTCAACATCAGAATAACTAAAAGGCTTCAAATTAATCAGTTCCAGGTGTTCTTAATGTTGAGCTTGAAGTTTAAAAGCAGAAGATTGAATAGTAAAAGAAGGAATTATCAGCTACAATCGTAATTCAAAAATGGTCTAGAGGTTTCCTAGCTAGATAATATGTTAGCAACAAACGTGAGAACTACAGAAAAGATATAGAAGCAGAATATGGTTACTTTGAAAATTAAGTCAAGTTTAATACCGACTACAATCTGCAAAAGTTTTTGAAGGAAAAGCAAAAGCTAAGAGAGGTAAACAAGACTAAAATGGTAGATAGCATGTCTATCTAGGAGAAAATTGGTGACTCTAGCACATCTTAATCAAAGCCTATAAGAGGCAAGTCAGCACCACAAAACTATCAACCTGTTTAAGTTCAAAATTTCTTCAGAGAAAGAAGTGATAAGGATCCTTTATCTTTGATTGAGATTTATGCTAGAAAGCATGCTCCTAAAATAGTACCTTCAGTAGTTAAATCGCCAGTCAAATAAGAAAAGTCACAGTCATAAAACTAAAAGTAAAAAGTGATCAAATAATCTTCATCAGACATAGATGAAGATATCTATACTGAATCTTTTGAGTAAGAAGAGGAAAAATCAATAAAAACTGATACAATTGATGAGGACTTCATAGAGATATCTAAGGGCATGAGTAGTGGTAGTATTAAAGATATAAGACCTTAGAAGTAAGCTTTTCCCTACAAACAGTCTACATCAATCATTGAGGAATCAATCTAGGAAGATTACATCATGTCAGTGAATAATGGTCATAGCAGAAACTTCAAGAGTCCAAATAAGAAAGACGACAGCATAATTGAAGATAGTATGCTTCACCAATAAATGTCAATTAGCAAGTCAAGTCATTAGAAAAAGAGCAGCATGAGAGAGGACAGCATTCAAGAGGAGATAGATAAGGATGGCTCAGAGTCTCAGTCTGGAAGTAACAACAACCGATTCAAGATTAATCTTGAGAAGCAAAAACAGCAAACTCAAATGCAGAAGTAGGTTGCAGATTTCGAAGTTAAGATGTAAGAGGATTAAAGCAAGCGAAAGAGACTTGTAAATGAACTTCTAGATGAAATGAAAAGATACGAGCAAGCCTCAGTATCTACAGTAGTGGTTGAAAGAATGGAAAAAATAATCAATAGCAGTTTGGCTTAAAAAGATAGAATTTTAATGGGGTAAAGACTTCATGAGTTAGAGCAAGAAAAGAATCATAAGGATGAAATCAATAAGATCAGAGAAGAGTAAATTAGGCTTTTATCACAGTTAGTTTTACTTGGCCCAAATGGTGTTGGTGGAGCTGCACCAAATGAAGAAGAGAAAAAGAAAATTATGGAAAATATCCAGAAAATCATTGAAAAACCAATAGTCATAAATCATGTTGAAGAATCAGTTGCTAAGAAAGGTAAAAAGCCAAAGATTACAGTTGAATCTTCAAGCAGCAGAGATGAATATGCATCTGATTACATTGAGGAATCTAAGGGATTATCTTAAAGAGGGAAAAGTGCAGATGATGACAGCATTGAGGAATCAATTCATTAGGATGGCCATGAAGACTCAATAGAAGAGGAAATTCCTGAGGGATCCAACGGTGAAATGACAGAAGATGAAATCAAAGAAAGCATATACACAGAAGGTAAGAAAGCTCAAGATGATAAGAAGAGGCTAAGTGCTAAGCAATCTAAATCAGGCACAGCTGACAACGGACTGTAGAAAATGAGAATGGCTTTGGGTAGTGAGGAAGCCATCAGGAAGCAAAGTAAAAATGCTTTAAAGAGAAGTATGGGTGAGGATCATAATGAACTGAGACACAGCGGTATATTTGAAAAGAATTCTTTCTAGGATTTCACTAACAATAAGTTCAAACAGCTCTTATTTGATCAAGATGCACTAAATGATGTGCTTGTCGAATTTGAAAGAGCTATTGAGGAAAAGAAAATTGAGAAGGAGGCAAGAAACAAAAAGAAGCTAAAGAGAAACGAAATATCTCCAAGAACTTTCAAGAAGAGGTCCCAAGAAATAGAGAAATGGGTGTCAAATGAAAAGCATGAATTGCTAAAGAGAAAGCAGAGCATGATGCAGTCAATGTCGGAAATGGGGTCAATGATTAAAAAGCTAGATATGGATAAGAAGTCGATGATAGAGAAGATTGGTTCACCAAGACCTCACAAAAGACTTGGAGATAGCTAATCATCTATAGATATGAATGATGACCTAGAAGAGGAATCAAATGAATCACTTAGAATGAGACAGGCAAGAGATTAGATTAAAAGTCTCAACAGAGACTTTGACAGAGAAGACCCAGAAAGCAGATCAATAGAAAAGAAGAAAAGAGCTGCTTAAAAGCTATTGGCTGAGAAGGAAAAAGCAATCGAGGAAGGTCTAAAAACCAAACTGAAAAAGATTGAATCACAGTAAGCAGATAAGATGCTTGATCTGGCTTTGAATTTGGACATTGATAAAGAAATTGAAAAGAGAATTCATGGAGCAATTAGACAAATCGAGGAAAGCTCTGATAACTACAATGAATATAGTGCAAGGTCATATAGTTAGAGTATAGGGCCTGTATCATAATCTAATAATGATGATTAAAAGAAAAAGAAGAATGTCAAGTTTGCCAGTCCTGAAAGATATTCCTCAGCTCATTCACATGAGCAAAGTATGTCTGGTGGAGCTAGTAGCAGATATAGATCGAGTCATAGAATAGAAGATAGTATAGGTGAAAGCATTAAGATTGAAGACTCTTATAACAATGTTTCAGAATATAACAGCAAAGTGCTAGAGTCAAGTAAGAGATCCCAATCAAGAGATAAAATCTAAGATTCTATTAAAGAATCTATCCCTGAAGATAACGAAAAAGAAAGTGATGCCTATTCGGATGATTTCATTCAGAGTTAGATCAGTGATGCTAAATCGATTAAGAATACTTTGGAGTAAAGTAGAAACAAACTTTAGGATAAAGCAAATCACAAAAATGATAAAGCTCCTTCAGCATAAGAAGATGACATTGACTATTCAATGAACTTTGATGAAAGCATCGGTCAAAGTTAGTAGCTCTCCTAATTCTAGTCACAAAAACATCCAGCTATTGTATCAGTTGAAAAGGTTGATGAAGAGTTAGAGGATGAAGAGGAAGATTAACAGGAGTAGATTAAGTCATAGAGCTCTAAAGTCAGGGACAGTGATTATATTTAAGAAGATGACCTTGGTAGTGAAAGCTTAGGAGCATCCTCTAAGATGGTTTCTCACTAAGAAATGGCGGATTCTGCAATGGATTAGCAAAGTGATGATAAAGAAATTCTATAGAGTGGTAAGAGTGTTGAATGGGTTATAAATCTTGAAAACCCAGATACTTAGAGAAGTAAAAAGCCTTCTGATGAGGATGATGGCTATTCTGAAGATTTTGAAAAGATAGAAGAAGATTATTACGACTAAGAAGAGAAGAAAAGTAGTGATTAAGATGTTAGTGAGTCAAAGAGAGATGACGAACTTGACGATCTAGAATCCTTCCCAGATGAAATAGCTGAATCTATGGAAGACTACAATGATAAAGTTGATAGAATTACTGATGAATTTTTGGAGTTACTTCTAAATGAGGTGAGGGAAAACCCAGATTTGAAGCTAGCCAAAGAGCTAGATGAAGAGGATTTCAAGGATAAATTCCCATTCAATCTTCAAAAAGAAGAGGAGAAAGCCCCTGAACCTCCAAAGCCAGTGCAAGCTCCCAAAGTTGAAGAGAAAAAAGCTGAGCCAAAGAGAGAATCATAGGATGATCTAATAAGAGCTAAATTTGATAAAGAAAGTAAGAAGCTAGACTAATAGCATAAGGAAATTGAATAGTATTTAGAACTAATGATTCAAAATATCGATTAAGATGAGCTGATTGAGTAATTAGAAAGACCAATAGAAGTCGATCCTTTGAAAAAATTAGCTATTATCTTCTCATAAGAAAATGTAGATGAGTCATTTAATAAGATTAATGAGAGCGGTCCATAATTCATCCTTAGTCTTGATTTCTTTATCAGAATCGAGGATTAATTTAAGCGTTTCCAGTTAGGAGGTAAAATGCAAGACTTGACTGAATCAGGTAGACAATCATACATTTAACATGAAAATATTCATCACAAGGCAATATTTGATGCATTCAATTAAGCTCTAGATATTGAAAGACCATATAAAGATAAGGGTAAGCCTGCCCCATGGAGTAAATAAACTAGAGTATTAAGGCCTAAAATAACTGAGAGTGATGTAGTAAAGATGCTGAAAAAAGCAAAAGATAGAGTGATGGATTGGTCTAAGACTAATGCAGGCACTAGAGTCGCTCCACTTCCTCCAGCTCTTCCTGCTAATAGTGATTTTGATAATCAATAGAACCAACCACCAATATAAAGCGAGGAGGACAGAATAAATTAGGCTCGAGAGGAAAAATTAGGAGTTCTGATGATGAAGGAGTTAGTGGAAAATGAGAATAAATGGATTGACATCGAAGATGAGGACACTTAGGTTAAGTTTGATCTTGCTGATATGGTTCTTGAAGAACTAGCTGGTGAGATTGCTGCTATAATGCTAAATATGAGAAAGTATTGATTTAAATAGTTTATAATTGTTAATTTTGTATACTTAATATTTCACTGTAACATATATGCCTATTGAAAACCATTTTGACAAGAGATAAATGTTTGCCCTCTATCTGCAAAAATAACTATTCCAAACCATCCTAAAATAGAGCAAACAGTAAATGAGGTATTCCATGTGAAATAGCTCCAGATATTAGTGTAATAGTGCTATGATAATTTTACTCTTCTCTCTTTTTCTAAATTTCCAAGCTTTCCATTTGAGTAAGCAGCAAAAAGGATCATTATTGAAAATAATATGAGAATAGAATTTAGTTTCATTTTATTTTTTCAGTTTGATAATTATCTCAAAATCCCATATATTAATTCTCCGGGGTTTTGGGGTTTTGGGGAGATCGGAAGAGCACAC